TCCGTAATAAATATGTTCAAGCATGAAAACCGTAATTAATCTAATATGCAAACTGCATAAAAATCCAAAGAAATGTCTACGACAAATCTCAACATTTCAGTTCTAATTTAAATAAAACACGACTTTTGATTTCGTTGAATTTCCACGATTTGCATAAAATTTGTGCAACTCGGCAACCAAAGTGTAAAACAAAGTCTCTGTTCAATTGATAAATCGCGTTTCAAATATGCCACCAAAAAATTAGGCTACACTGTTATAAGTTCTCCAGGTCGTCTCTAGTCCCTTAACCTTGACATCGAGACATCAGTTGACCAGGATGATGCAGTTTCGAGTGCATTTTGTTCGAGAATCGACCTGCTCGAAGGATCGGCGATCGTCGCCGAAAGCTGCGATTGAACGCGGTTAATTGAATTAATTAAACGCGTTGGTGGCAACACTTTCGAGTGCGAAGTATCAAGTCGATACCAAGCCTAACACGGGGCCCTCCTCACGTTCCGCGCGAGTTCCCGGCCGTAGTGACCCTGAACTTCGTGTAATATTCGCGATAAATGTATCCTGGTGTTGTAAAGCGATTCGCGCAACGCTCGCGAATATTAATGGCGGTCGGTCGCCGACACAGATTTGAAATCGGTAGACGGGGCAACAGGATCGTTCCCTCTTCAATTCTAATCCCGGCTAAGAAGGATACCGTGGCCACGGGTCCCTTAAGGCCTTTCGTTACAATTGCTGGCATAAATCAAGATACTGTATTATATTCCGACTGCGACTAGATTTTTCATCCAGTTCCGAGGTAATGGGCCATCGGACTCGGCGCTGCACTCATTAAAGGAATTCTATTTTCGAGGCGCGTGCAATTCTCATTGCCCCGGTGAACGCTCGATTATCAGGCCGCGACCCGAGAGTCCAATTTCTCCAACTCGAGTGAACTTCTTCGGTGACGTATTAGGAAATCTTTAGCAATTTCATTCGACGAATAGGATCGTTAAATCTGATAACTCGATAAATAGGATTATTAAGCTTGATAGTTAATGATTCGACGAATAGGATCATTAAATTTGATAACTAATAGTTCGACAAATGGAATAATTAAATTTGATCATTTTTTACTAGGTTATTTTGATAGTTGTTATTTCATTAATTTGGGAATTATTTATAAAACGTTGAACTTTGAATTTTATAATCTCTGTGTTTTATCATACATATCATATTCATGAATTATTATTTAAGAAGCTAGTCGTATAGGACGAAACCGATTATTTTTTGTTTCATGTTAGAAGATGCAGCAATTATCGATGTGCGCATTAATTG